GCGCACCTCCGCGCTGGTCACGCCTATTCTCCAGGATCCGGCGATTGGTCTTATTTCCACGGGCTGCAACAGGGAGGAATGGATATGCACGCAGACGGGCTGCGGGGAGGCAAAGGGGAAGTCTTTCATGACGGCATCGGACCACATCGTATCGGCAAACCATCTCCTTCAGCTGGAAAAGATGGGTACTGCGACGCGTGTCACCCTGGAGAAGGCAACTCTTGCCTTGCTCAAGAAGGATTACGGACTTTAGCTGCATGGTCAGCGGCAGCAGCGGTAGGTCTCCTGGTAGTCGGTCTTGTTGCAACTTTCAGCCTGTGGATGAATAAAGGCTGCCAGGGAGTGATTAGATGAGTAACAACAATGTACTGTCATTTGCCGGCCTGAACGTGAACGGGCTCGGAGATTTAACGAAGCAATCATGGGTCACATCATGGATGAAAGCAGCGGCAGACATCAACATCCTCACAGATACTAGATTGGAAGGGAACCACTCTTACTGGAACAAGCTCAGTGCAGCCTCAGTGGTAGCAGTTACACCTCAAGAGAGAGCCGGCGGTGTCGCTGTCATCGCCTGGGATCCTGGTATACAGCTTAGAAACACACTGACTCACCCCTCAGGTAGACTCATTAGGACAGAGGTTATAGGTAAAGGTCTCTCCATCACCCTTTTAGCAACTTACTTTCCAGCATCGCCTGCAGCTCGCGTAGGGTTCATCAGGGACGTTGTCGGACCAGTTGTCGATCAGATAGACCCAGGTAGCCACGTCCTCATCCTAGGGGACCTCAACATGATTGATAACCCCTTTTTAGACAAGACATCACGGGCAGGCTCAGCGATTGGAAACATCAGACTGATACGCAGATGCGGGATATTCCAGATTTCGGACGCCTTCCGCATCCTACACCCCACCAAGAGGGAATACACCTTCATGTCGATGGCGAAGCAGTCCAGCACGAGGATCGACCGTGCTCTGATCTCGCGGTCGCTGCTTCCCGGCCTGGAGTCAGCATCGCATAAGTCGCCTGACGATCCGATCTCAGATCACGGCTTTGCCATCAGATTGGCCTTCCGCTGCGGTGCTAACGCGAAGCTTGGACCGGGAGTCTGGAGATTTCCGTCCCACCTGCTCAATAGACCAGGTGTAAGGAAAGTGGTAGAAGCAGCGGCGAAACAGTCAGGGGGAGATTATGTTCTGCTACTGGCTCGGCTAAATGCGGGACTTCGCGCCTATGCCAAGGAGGAGGGCAAGAGAGTTAAGGCGACAATGAGGCACCTGTCCGCGGCGGTGGCGAACCTGAAGCAGGCGGCCATGGGAGCACCCAACTGCACACGTAGGAGGGAGCTTTTGAGAACAAAGGAGGGTCAACTGAGGGAGTACCAATCATCTCGACGGGACAGACTCCACTTGATGGCTGGCTATGGGGCAGAGCTCAAGGGGGAGGTGGTCTCAAAGCACTTGTCGGCAAGGGTGAAGGCCAGGAAACAACGCACGCGGATAGCTGAGTTGAATGTCAATGGCACGGTGGTGTGCGACAAGCAGGGTATTTTGGATGCTGCAGCCAATTTCTTCAACGGGCTCTTCGGAATGGATAAAAGAACTCACCGAACGAGCTGGTTACCGGACCGGAGGCTGTCGGCGGAGGATGCGGAGGGGCTTGCTCAGGATTGGTCGGAGCAGGAAGTAAAAAATGCTTTCAAGACGCTGGCGTGCGGGAAGTCGCCGGGTTTGGACGGGATTCCGAAAGAGCTGTTCGAGCTGCACTGGGACATCCTGGGAGAGGGCTTCATGAGCCTGGCACGCTCCTTCGAAGCCTCTGCATCACTACCTGCAAGCACCAAGGAGGCGGTTACGATTTTGCTACACAAGAAGGGTGACAAAGGCCAAATAAGCAACTACCGGCCTATCACGCTTCTAAATTTCACTTACAAAGTCCTGGCGAAAGTGGTGGCGGACCGGATGAAGAAGGTGCTGCACCGGGTGATCTCGAAGGAGCAGTATGGTTTCATACTGGGTCGGAGATTGTCGGACGCGGTCAGCCTGGTGGCTGACATCATCGATGCTGCAAACAAAGGGGACAAGGACTGGTTTTTGCTGCTGGTGGATTTTCAAAAAGCCTTCGACACTGTCTCCCGGGGCTTCCTTTTTGAGACGCTGGAGAAGATGGGCTTCCCTCCGAGTTTTGTGGGTTGGGTGAGGGGCCTGCACAAGGAAACGAAGACAAGGCTGTTAATTAACGGATGGAAGAGCGATGCCTTGGAGGTGGTTTCGGGGGTGAGGCAGGGCTGTCCTCTCGCCCCTTACCTTTTCATCTGTGCGGTGGAACCCCTGGCCCAGGAAGCGGCGAAGAGGCAGCTGGGCATTGTCAGTGACTCGGGGAGGAGGCTGCCTTACCTGGGTTATGCGGACGATACCACGCTACTGCTGCAGGGGAGGGAGCAGATTGCAGAAGCAGGGAAAATGCTGGATTATTTTGAGCGCGTTTCTGGTTTGGTCACAAACAAGGATAAGTCGGTGGTGATGCCGCTGGGCAGAAATCTTGGAGGTCGTCCCTGGAGGCCGGACGGTTTCAAATGGGCCGGCGCAAATGATGCGGAGAGACTGCTCGGGATCTGGGTCACCGCCTCAGGCGACTGCAAGGCGACATGGGACAAGACACTGTTGAGACTGCTGGGAGAGATGGGGAAATGGGAGTTGAAGTATCTCACGATTACGGCGAGGGCGGTCGTCATCAACGGATACATTACCCCGATCATCGCTTTCCAGGCGCAGGTCTACCCGCCACCGCGGGAGGTCTGGGGTCGGATATCGAAGCTGATTCATAACTTCCTCTCGGGAAATCACGCGTCGGAGGAGGGATGTTTCATCCTGTGGGGGAAGGAAACAATCTTTGCAACACGTGAGGAGGGAGGTGTTGGAGTGAAGGACCCGGGGGTTCTGGTCGCCTGTCTGGCTGCTAGAAGGATCGGAATCCTGCTGACCGAGTCGGACGTTTTCAAACGAGACATGATGCTCGCAGCAGCAGGGCTGCCGTTGGGGCTGGATACCTTCCTATCGCATGAGAAGCTGCTGAAATACTGGGTTGATGGGAGCGCGCGATGGAAGCAAACCTGCGAATGTTTCATGTCGTCGCCGTTCGCTTCCGTCAGCATACCTCTCACCGCAGCGGAAGTTGCCGCAGAGAGATTGGTCTTCAACAGAGGCATTCTGCTTAACGGGAGAACGCCGGTCGGGGGACAGAAGGCTGCTAAGGCGCTTTGGGAGATCAAGCTGGGGGACCTGGTGACGCCCATGGCGAACGGTGGGATGGCAGTAAAGAGCGAGGAAACCCTAGCAATGTCGCTTGGAACAGCATCTGCTCGGCTGGCTCTGAAGGGGCTGGCTGCCGCGCCTGAGAACTGGAGGGAGCTGCTGCTCGCCTCATCGGAAGGAATTCAGGGCGCAGACATGGGGGGGAGAGCGGCTGCAGCCCCTGGGAGTAAACTGTTCCGCACGCCCATTTTCCACCTCGGCCAAGTCGCCCCGATAAAGCATCTGCGGTTAGCATGGAGAAGACAGGGGCACTCGGCGCGGAGGAGAGAGAAGTGGGCAAACCGATGGGGGCGAAAAATCGACTGGAAGCGGGCGACCAAGATCCGTGATTCGCTCACCACGCCTAGTAGCCCCAGAGATGTTTTAATCAGGGTGCATAATTTCAACCTTCAGGTCGGAGAAAGGCTGGCTTTCCTCAGTTCGAAGCCGAAATGTCCGTACTGTAGCGAGGAGGAGTCACTCGAGCACTGCCTTTTTGAGTGCCCGAGGATTCAACCAGTGATGGGGGCTTTGAAAACGGCTCTCAAGATGCTTAACCCCGGGCGCACTATCTCATCGCTGGGCAACCTTCTTTTTGGGCGAGCGGCGTCCAGCTCAGCATTTCCGGAAGCAACACTTACGGCGATCACTATCCATCAGCTGTGGGTTGAGAGATGTGAAGCGGCTTTCCGGGAGCAAAAATTCCGGTTGAGACGGGTACTATGGAGGATAGAGGCAGCTTTTCGGCTACATGCAAGGGTCTTCATGAAACACGCGGGTGAAAAACTGCAGAAAGACAGCGCAACAGGGCAGAAGGTGACACGTGGAGGAGGGCCCAGTCAGGAGATGAGGCTTCTGGATCGAATCAGAGACAGGAACGCTAAGAAGTGGACGTGGAAGGCGGGTTTTGCAGCCATCTGGACACGACAAAGAAGGGGCAGCATCAGGCCGGGGCAGCTACACTGAGGCGGGTTACCACTTAGCCTCCAAGCGCAGTTACGACTGTTCTTGCTTTTGTACACTTGCCTATTCGGTGTATAATGCAATTACCAAAAAACGTCACGGGATTTTCCAGCGTGTCCGTTTCCTGTTCGTTGAACGCAGTCTCAGTTGGTTGCCGAGTTTTTACAGCACAAATCTTAATCTACCGAACGAAACCGAGTATCGTGAGTCGAACCCAATCTCGCATGTGTTCACGTCGAGTCGAGTCTTCCCTGATCCTCCAGGTCGCTGACTGAACCAACCATTGCTAGTCACCTAAAATCGTGACTGAGCCAATCCTATAAAAAAATCATATATATTATGAAAATTGGCCGTCGATTGCAATAGTTTTGACCCGCTAAAACACCTCAAGCATTGGATTAACTGTCGTTACAGTCACATGTTCGCTCATGTGACCCGTAATTCCGGACTCCGTGGAAATGTCAGTAGGTGGCGCTCCAATGCGCCGGCGAAGACGGTGCCGTTAAATAGCCGCGGCTCGACGACGCGATCCGAGCATAAGCGGGACTGCAGCCGGCATCTCGTTCTTATCTTAGCCATAACCAACCTCGCGTTGCTCTTCCTCCATCCTCTGTTAACATTTAGGTCACCAATTTCCGGTATTAGCGACGACGATGATCAGGATCCATTCTCGAGAGCCGCTGCTGACGTGGCATGGCGATCGAGGCAGAAAAGAAGGGGATTGTGGAACGCGGCTACGCAACGATGGCGCGGAGCGGACGGCATTCAGGCAGAGGTATGAACGGGATGAGGTACGACCGGGATGAGGTACGACCGGGATGAGTTACAACCGGGACGAGGTACGACCGGGATGAGTTACAACCGGGTTGAGGTACGACTTGGCTGCGGAATGGTGCACTGTTTCTAGAGGGTTGATGCTTCACACCCCCCACCCACCAACCCACCCACACACACCAGCCTTCCTTCCCCTTCTCCCCCCGTTTCCCCTTCCCCCACCTCCTAATGTCCAATCCCATCCCCCCCCCCCAACCCACTCACTGTCTCGCTTGTCCGTCCGACAGTATCCTTCTTTTTTGCTCTCCTGATGCTGTCACTTTTCCCTCCCTCTCCCGTCTCCTGTTCATCTCGCCCTCCACCCCTTCTTTCTTCTTCCCACTCCCCCTCTCCCCACTTTCCCCATTCCCATTCCCATCCACTCCCCTATCACCACTCCACCAAACCCACTCCCTCCCTCCATACTCCCACCCACTGCCCGTTTCATCCACCGCAACCCTAACCAGACCATTGGAAAGCTCTTAAACGAGGACGCGGAGCGGTTCTCCCTGCCAATCAAACGACGCCACGTCAGCACGGGGCACGGGCTGCAGGGATTCGTGCTGTACAGCAGCTACCGCCTGAACATGTCGTCCTTTGTGGTGCTCGGGCTCTCCCCCATGGCGCTGCACTCGCTGCCACGTGTCAACTCGTGCAGGTGACGTGGCGTGATGGGGAGATGACGAGGCGGTGGCATCGTCGGCGGTGCTTGCTTGGGGAAGCATTGGATGGAAGAAAGGGGGAGTTTGACACGCAAGGGATGGAAGGGGAGACCACCCTTTGTTTTCCCAAGGCCTCCTGCATCCGCTTTCTCTTGTTCTCTTTCTCCTTTGTCCCCCATCCACCTCTCTTCTCACATCTCCACTCCGCTTCTCCACTCCACCTCTCTCCATCCCACCTCTCGCCTCCCCACCTCTCTCCACTCCACCTCTCTATTCAATCTCTCTACTCACCTCTCCTTCACCGCTCCTCTCCCTGTTCTTCCACCCGACCGCATGCGCCCGTTCCCCGCGTTTAGGCAGATGGGAGCCGACGACGCCAGCATCACGTGTTGACGAGACACGTGGCACTGATGAGACACGTGGCAGTGGTGCTACACGTGGCACAGCACGCGCAGGATTCTCACGGCACCTGTTGGAAGTCAAGGGAGGTGGCAAAGAGGGGGCAAAAAGGGAGGAGGGGGGGAAAGGGGATGTGGGGAGGAAAGGGGAGGCACGGAGGAATGGGGACGAGGGAGGTAAAGGGGCTGTGCGAGGCAAAGGGTATGGGGGGAGGGTAAGGCAGGGGGGGAAGGTCGGGGTAAAGTGGGCGCACGTGGTTCATGAGGGGAGGAGCGGGGCTGAGAAGGTGGAGGGCAGAAGAGATAGTGGGAAGAGGGGCGAAACGGGGAAGACGGAGGGGAAGAATGAGATGAAAGGAGGTGCAGTGGGGTTGAAGGAGCAGCAGCAGGCACTGCGGCAGGCATGCAAGGAGGTAAAGGGGGAAGGTGGACGAGAAAGGGAAGGAGGGAAGGGAGGAGAGAAGGTAGGGGAAAAGGTAGGAGTAAAGGGAGGAGGCAAAGGAGGAGCGAAGGAAAGAGAGAAAGAAGGAGGAAAGGGAGGAGAGGTGGGCGGGGAGAAGGGGAAAGAGAAGGGAGGAGACAAAGGAGGAGGTAAGGGAGGAGGGGAGAGGAAGGTGGAGCAAAAGGCAGGTGGTGTTTATGCCAAGGGCGTTATGGGTGTACAGGGAACAGCAGGCATAGGCAGTGGGGGAGCGGTAGGTCGAGCAGAGGGAGGGAATAGAAACGTGGCAATTGGCGTTTCTGCCAAGGGCGGTATGGGTGCACAGGGAACAGCAAGCACAGGTGGTGGGGAAATGGTAGGTGTTGGGGGAGTGGTAGGTCGAGCAGAGGGAAGCGGTAGTAACGTACAAAAGGATAGCAGCAAACAGCCTTTGGGGCTTGCGAAAGCAGCAGCAGCAACGTCAACAGCAAGAGCAACAACAGCAGAAGAAATTACTGCAGCAGCAGCAGCAGACGAAAAACAAACCGGAAGGCCAGCAGGAAAAGCAGGAGAAGGAGCAGCAGGTGCAACAGCAAGCGGAACTGCAGCAGGGGCACAAAGGACAGCAGCAGGCGCAGCAGCAGCAGGAGCAACAGCAGGACCGGCAGGAGCAACAGGGACAGGAGCAGCAGGAGCAGCAAAAGGCAGCAAAGGAGGAGGAGGAGGAGGAGGAGGAGGAGGAGGAGGAGGAGGAGGAGGAGGAGGAGGAGGAGGAGGAGGAGGAGGAGGAGGAGGAGGAGGAGGCGGCGGGTCAAAGACCAAGCACCCGCCAGGGTCAATCCAGGGCACAGTGACAGCGCACTATCCGGGGGAGGGCTTTAAGATGCGGTACGAGGCGGTGATCCTGCAGTGCACGCTGCAGGCGCCCACGGGGCCGATCTCGGGGGGTCGGCTGGTGATGGCGGTGGATGGGCGCGAAGCAGTGGTGGTGCAGGAGGAGCCAGGGCACGACCTGCCGCATGCCATGCGCACACACGATTTCCCGTGAGTCTGGATTGGGCTTTGCTTGGTTGAATTTGCTCCTGCCGTAGGCACCCACTGGGCCGATAGGGGGTTGTTGTGAGGCGCCTCAGAACCACCTTAGCGCCCACGGGGCCGATCTCGGGCGGGCGGCTGGTGATGGCGGTGGATGGGCGCGAAACAGTGGTGGTGCAGGAGGAGCCAGGGCACGACCTGCCGCATGCCATGCGCACACACGATTTCCCGTGAGTCTGGATTGGGCTTTGCTTGGTTGAATTTGCTCCTGCCGTAGGCACCCACTGGGCCGATAGGGGGTTGTTGTGAGGCGCCTCAGAACCACCTTAGCGCCCACGGGGCCGATCTCGGGCGGGCGGCTGGTGATGGCGGTGGATGGGCGCGAAACAGTGGTGGTGCAGGAGGAGCCAGGGCACGACCTGCCGCATGCCATGCGCACACACGATTTCCCGTGAGTCTGGATTGGGCTTTGCTTGGTTGAATTTGCTCCTGCCGTAGGCACCCACTGGGCCGATAGGGGGTTGTTGTGAGGCGCCTCAGAACCACCTTAGCGCCCACGGGGCCGATCTCGGGCGGGCGGCTGGTGATGGCGGTGGATGGGCGCGAAACAGTGGTGGTGCAGGAGGAGCCAGGGCACGACCTGCCGCATGCCATGCGCACACACGATTTCCCGTGAGTCTGGATTGGGCTTTGCTTGGTTGAATTTGCTCCTGCCGTAGGCACCCACTGGGCCGATAGGGGGTTGTTGTGAGGCGCCTCAGAACCACCTTAGCGCCCACGGGGCCGATCTCGGGCGGGCGGCTGGTGATGGCGGTGGATGGGCGCGAAGCAGTGGTGGTGCAGGAGGAGCCAGGGCATGATCTGCCACATGCCATGCGCACACACGATTTCCTGTGAGTGGGGATTGTGATGTTCCTTTAGATTGGTAGGCTTATCAGCACGAATGAGTTGCTGTTAGACATGGCCGTGGTGGTGGAGGAGGAGCCAGGGCACGACCTGCCACATGCCATGCGCACACATGACTTCCCGTGAGTCCGGATGGGGCTGCTACCTGTTGCAAGGTGTTTTGTTGCGTGATTGGTGGTGGTGGAGGAGGAGGAGCAAGGGCACGACCTGCCACACGCCATGCGCAAACATGACTTCCCGTGAGTCCAGATGGGGCTATCATTAAATGTAACTTGTTACTTTCTGTGGTGGTGGTGGTGGTGGTGGTGGTGGTGGTGGTGGTGGTGGTGGTGGTGGTGATAGAGGACCCCTTCCTCCCCTCTCTCCCCCCACCACCCACCGCCAGCCACGCCCTAACGCACTACTCCGCGTCACCCACTGCCACCTAAGCGCACGCATCCGAAACCTAGCCCCCCTTTCCCCCCGCCTTCCCCCCCTTATCCCTGCCTTCCCCCTCCTTCCCCCCCACCCCTACCCCCACCCCTCCCCCAACAAACACCTCCGTTCTCCAGCCACGCCCTCACGCACTGCTCCTCGCCGCTGTACAAGCCGACGCATCCACCCACCCTACCCCTCCCCCCTCTCCTCCCCCCTCCCCCACCACCCTCTCTTCCCCAGCCACGCTCTGACACACTGCTCCTCGCCGCTGTTTTTGAGACGTCTCAAAAACACCCTCACCTCACGTACCCCTCCCCCCTCTCCTCCCCCCTCCCCACCCACCCTCTCTTCCCCAGCCACGCTCTTACACACTGCTCCTCGCCGCTGTACAAGCCGACGCACGCCGGCCGGCTGCGCGAGTGGATGGATTTCCACCGCACTGTTCACCGCGTGGACCTCTTCCTGCTGTACGATGCGGGCGGCGTGGACGGCGCGGTTCGGCACGCGCTGCACCCGCTGCTGGCGGGCGGCACAGTGCAGATCGCGGATCTCAGAGATGCCGCCCGGTTTGAGAGCTACCACCATGCACAGGTGAGCATGTTTTGTCTGTATGTGTGTATGTGTGTAAGGGGGGTGATCAAGCCAGTGCACCAAAATCCTTTCCCTCACCTCACCCCCGCACCGCACCTCTCCTGTCCCGCTTTTCCCTTCCTCCCTTTCCCTCAACCTGCTTCTCTTCCTTCTCTTTCCCTCCGTTCCTCCAGCTCCTGGCAATGAACGACTGCATATTCCGCCGCACAAGGCACCTCAGCACCCCCTTTCCCTCCCCTCACCCACCCTCTCCCTCCGCTTCCCCCTCTTCCCCCCCCCCCCCAGCTCCTAGCAATGAACGACTGCATATTTCGCACAAGGCACCTCATAACCACTTCTCTCTTCCTCCCTTTCTTCCATCCCTCCCCTCCCCACCCTCCTCTCATCCCCCAAACCCCCCCCAGCTCCTAGCGATGAACGACTGCATATTCCGCACGCGCCACCTCTCCCGCTGGACTCTCTTCCTCGACTTCGACCACTACATCTCCCTCCCCAGCACCCTCATCTCCACACGCTATCCCCCCTTCCCCCTTCCCTCCCCCCCCTCTAGCTCCTCGCAATGAACGACTGCTTATTCTGCTCAAGGCACCTCTGCATTCCCATTTCCGTCCTTTCCTTCTCTCCCGTTCCCCTCCCTGCACACCCTCCCCCCACCCCATTCCTCCTCCCCCCCAGCTCCTAGCAATGAACGACTGCATATTCCGCACGAGGCACCTCTCCCGCTGGACTCTCTACCTCGATTTCGACCACTACATCTCCCTCCCCCACGCCCTCATCTCCACACGCTACCCCAACCCCACCACCACTACCACCGCTGCCGCCACTACCACTACCAATCCTGCCACCACCATTGCTACCACCGGTGCCACTACCTTTCCCAGAACGCTCCTGGCTGACCCGAGCAACAACAGGGCGCTCTCTCTGCTGGCTTTCCTAGACGGGAAAGGCCAGACATTTGACGGGAGGGGGCAGGGGCAAGGGCAGGGGGGGGCCGAGGAGGGGTGGACGTGGGTGAGCTTCGGGTGCTTCGTCTTCTCTGTCGACCGCTGCGCTCCTTTGCCCCACATCAGGTGAGACGCTTGACGGGAGGGGGCAAGGGCAGGGGCAGGGAGAGGGGGAGGGGCAGGGGCAGGGGGAGGGCGAGGAGGGGTGGACGTGGGTAAGCTTCGGGTGCTTCGTTTTCTCTGTCGACCGCTGCGCTCCTTTGCCCGACATCAGGTGAGACGCTTGACGGGAGGGGGCAAGGGCAGGGGCAGGGCGAGGGGGAGGGGCAGGGGCAGAGGGGGGGCGAGGAGGGGTGGACGTGGGTTAGCTTTGGGTGCTTCTTCTTCTCTGTCGACCGCTGCGCTCCTTTGCCCGACATCAGGTGAGACACTTGTGCCCTCTCTGTTACTCCTTCCCTTTATATTTGTACACGGTTTTTTTCTTTTCTTTTCCTTTATTTTGTACAGCGATAAGACCATGTGTCATGCCGTGCCATGCCTCTAACCTTTCCTGTCTTTCCACTCCCATCACCGCTCTCAACCCGTGCAGTGAAGGGGATGAGTGGGCGGTGGAGCGCATGGTGTATCGGGACCCTGCTGTTATCCCTACTGCAGCTGCAGTGACGAGACCGTGTTCCATTCTGTGCCTCTAATTATGCCTCCTGTCTTTCTACTCACAACCCTGCAGTGAGGGAGATGAGTGGGCGGTGGAGCGCATGGTGTATCGGAACCCTGCTGTTATCCCTACTGCAGCTGCAGTGACGAGACCGTGTTCATTCTGTGCCTCTAATTATGCCTCCTGTCTTTCCACCCACAACCATGCAGTGAGGGAGATGAGTGGGCGGTGGAGCGCATGGTGTATCGGGACCCTGAGCCATACTGCAGGGAGAACAGCAGTTACAGCGACAAGACCGTATGCCAAAAGGCAGATGGCCTTCGCCAACTCGCCATCAACCCCCGCAAAACCCTCGTTGTTCAGAGCAATCGGTGAGTAAAAAAGAGTCACGGGAGCAATCGGTGACTAGCATGGGTCATAGCTCCTGAGTTGAGGCATTTTTTCAAGGATTTTTGTTGACAGCCATTGTTTAGGCTAAGCTTCTTTTTCTCGTTCCCTCCTCTTTCTGTATCCTTAATACCAAGGTTGTCAAATGCTTCGGCAGACCCCCCCTACATACCAAAAAGGTGTGCAGTGCAATGCGTTTCAATACAGTACTACTACCGCCTCCCTTTTAGTTTTACATGGTTTTTTCAACGTTTATGGGGTGCTGTGCTTGTGTCGCAGAATTCTGAATGCGGAGCCCGGAGGGTACATAGCGCCCACGGGGAGTGTGCGCATGAACTACTTCAAGGGGCTTTCTGAACGAGAGCGCAGCACTTGCGAATTTATCATGCCAAATGCTGACGGTACCATCGATGCCAACTTGACTCAAGATTACTCATTCTCGAATTTAGCTGTTGCCGCTCGATATAAATTAGCTGCTAACAACAATGGGCTAACGTAATTATATTTCTTTGAAGAACTCCAAGTGTTCAAGAAGAAATAAGGACAAGGAACTTTTTGAGAAGTCTCAAGAAGTGTACTTGAGGTATTTCTATTAGGTGCTTATTCACATCCCGTGCCAACTTCTTATCAAGTATCGTAACCCTACGCACCTCCTCAAACGCGTATGACATTGAAATTCGGGAAAATATGCCACACGTAATCAACAAGGGTCTCGATAATATGTTTGGTAAAAAAAAACGGGTACGGTGACTGCAAAGGGTGTTTTCACGTGGTTGATAACACGTTTCACGGAATCAGTCACAATCAACGGGGAAAAAAAAACGCGAATGGTCACAGATGAAACTCCCGCCCAAAAAAGATAATACCCAAAACGAACCTGGATACATTTTCGGATGAATCAACCCTAAACACAATTCGCCAGGTGTTTAGGGTTGATCCGTTCCCGAACCGCCTCCGTTTCCGATTGGGTTTTAGTTTTTTTAGAAGTTATCTGATTGGTTCGTCGCGAGCGGGAATTTTGTAGAGTTTCAAGAGTTTTTGGCGGGAGTTACATGTGTGACCATTCGCGTGATTTTTTACCTGTTGTGAGTTACTGAATCCGTGACCCCACTTACCAAGACCGGCAGCAAACCCGATAGGGTGATCGTACGCGTTTTGTTTTTACCACTCACGTTATCGAGTCCCATGTTGGTTACTTGTGACATAATTTCCCTTGAAATTCGCCCCTCCAATTTCTAAACCACCTGTCGTCTTTGCATGGCTTGGGCTTGAGGTTCCCGCTGCCAGCAGGCTACACGCGCAACACCTGTGTCGTCCGCGTGTAATGGCACCATTGAATCTCATGCGAGCCACGTGTCGCACGCTCTCTCAAGACGTGGCGCGTTGTCGTTCGTCTACTCCGTGCCTCCGCCCCTCACCGTGGTTTGCGCGAAGTATGGAAATTCCGGCCGAAACGCATCCTTGCGGAAAGCATGAGCGGAACGAAAGGCATAAGCGGAACGAATCCGCGCGGAAAGCATGGAGGCGGAGCGAAAAGCACAAGCGGAACGCATCCGCGCGGAAAGCATAGAGGCGGAAGCTTATGTTTGCGGAGGAGATTGGGCGAAGATGCAGGCGAAGGAAGGCGCTTGCGCCCCGCCGGATTGAAATTTTCAACTTGGTTGCTGCGGCTTTCCAAGGCGCCCCAGGCGTCCAACGCAGTGACGAGGCGAGGTTGCAGGGTGGGATACGGTGGTATAAGATAGGATGGGAAGGGATGTGATGCGATGGGATGGTTTGATATGCGATGGCGCGGAATGATCCGAGCGCTCTTGCTGCTTTAGACGGATTTCAATCATTCAACCAGATTCGGCCGTCTTAGTTCCGCTCCCTCTGCATCGACTCATCAGCCACCGTGCGACGCCAATATTTTTTCACACCACTTGTGTTCGAACCGTGGCAGCTACAACCATGGCTGCGACTGTTGCCACCACCATCCAACTCTCGTTAGCCGTACACGGCATACGCCCTGCTCTGGCGCCCTCCCACGGAGATCATTCAATAACGGGTACAAAGGGAAAATGCCGCGTGACAATCCCATGGTGGAGCAGCCGCAGCGGCAGCAGCAGCAGCAGGACCAGGATCAGCGTCAGCAGTAGTAGCTTCAACAGCAGCGGAGGTAGTGGTGGTGGCAGGAGCGACGGGTTTTCGTGGACTGCGAGACGCGTGGAGAGGAGGAGACTGGGGGGGCGAGGCGGGAGAGGAGTAGGAGGCGGAAAGCCGTGGGGGGCGCCAGACAGGGAAAAACCTGGAGAGGAAATAAGAGATGACAATAATACGCGAGATGTCGGTGTCAAGCGAGAAAGTGACTATATCGAGCAGGGTGGTGAGAATTTGAAGCAGAGAGCTGACCCTGTGAAGACGGATCGTGACTATATGGAGCGGATCAGGGATGAAGGGGGGATTGGACGGGTGGTTACCACCCAGGTGGCAGCCCTCCCTGCTCGCCTGCACCAGATGATACCTCCCCTTTCCTCCCCGCACTCGCGACACCTAGCTCTCCTCCTCGCCTCCTCCCTCTCTTTCCTCTTCCTCCTCCTCCTGCGCCGCACCGTCGCTCGCACATTCCTTGCAGCTTCCTCTGCTGTGTGTCGTTTCTTCACCCAACTGTTCCGTGCTGGGGGTCGCTCATTGAAGCCTGAAGGGCCTAAAACACCTTTGCACCATGTAGGGGAGCGAGAAGAGAGCTTGCAGCTGCGGCACAGGGCTCAGCTTGTCGTTGGACCGGAGAAGCAGGATGAGGAGGAGCAGAAGGGGGAGGAGGAGGAATCACCAGCTGCAGCAACACCGCCACCAGCAGCAGCAGCAGTAAAAAACGAAGCAGCAGAAGCAACAGCAGCAGCAGCAATAGTCGCAGCCGAGGAGCTTGTTTCAAGTCTTGAAGAGATTCTGTACTTGCGAGATAAGGTTAGGCTTATAATGGAGGAGGAGGAGGAGGAGGAGGAGGAGGAGGAGGAGGAGGAGGAGGAGGAGGAGGAGGAGGAGTGGGGGGAGGAGGAGGAGGAGGAGGAGGAGGGGGGGGAGGAGGAGGAGGAGTGGGGGGAGGAGGAGGAGGAGGAGTGGGGGGAGGAGGAGGAGGATTGGGGGGAGGAGGATGAGGAGGATGAGGGGGTGAGGACTGAGGGGATAACGGAGCAACAGCATCAGAAGGTTCAGCAGTCTCTGAGGCAGCGCATTGGTGAGGGTGAGACAGATGAAGTTACTGCTGTTGCTTCTATTCTTACCGCTACTGGCAGTGGTGGTTCCAGTAACAGTAGCAGTAGTGGTGGTGATGGTCATGGTGATGGTGATGGTGTTGATGGTGATAACGCAGTTTCTGAGTCACTGAATGCGGCAGATGACATTTCTCCAATGATGCTGGCACTTGAAGCGAGTCACGTGCATGCAACAGAAGGTTCAGGTGAAAATTCAGGTGATCTTGCTGGTGGTCTACTTTTTGAAGCAGCAGGAGAATTAGCGACAGCAGGGGAACCAGCAGCGGGGGAAGCAGCAGAGGAGGCAGCAGAGGAGGCAGCAGAGGAGGCAGCAGAGGAGGCAGCAGGGGAGGCAGCAGAGGAGGCAGCAGAGAGAGCAACAGACGGAGAAACAGAGGGAGCAGCAGAGGGATCAGCAGAAGAAGCAGCAGAGGAAACAGCAGAGGCAACAGCAGAGGGAGCAGCAGAGGTAGCAACAGAGGAAGCAGCAGAGGGAGCAGCAGAGGCAACAGCAGAGGCAACAGCAAAGGAAGCAGCAGAGGAAGCAGCAGGAGAAGCAGCAGCAGAGAAAGCAGCAGTGGGAGAAGCAGAGGCAGCACGAGAGGCATCAGAGGAAGCGGCAGGGTTAAGTAACTCAGCAGCAGGGGAAGCAGCAGAGGGGGCAGTAGAGGAAGCAGCAGAGGGGGCAGTAGAGGAAGCAGCAGAGGGGGCAGTAGAGGAAGCAGCAGAGGGGGCAGTAGAGGAAGCAGCAGAGGGGGCAGTAGAGGAAGCAGCAGAGGGGGCAGTAGAGGAAGCAGCAGAGGGGGCAGTAGAGGAAGCAGCAGAGGGGGCAGTAGAGGAAGCAGCAGAGGGGGCAGTAGAGGAAGCAGCAGAGGGGGCAGTAGAGGAAGCAGCAGAAGAAGCAACTCAGGGAACAGCTGAGGGGGCAATAGAGGAGGGATTAAACGAAGCAGCAGAGGGAGAAGCAGGGGAAGCAGCGGGGAAAGCAGCAGAGGAAGCAGCAGAAAAGCCAGCAGGGACAGCTGCAGGGAAATTGGGCAAAGCAGAGGCAGTGACGGGCGCAGAGGAAGCAAGGACGGAACACGAGGCGAGGGGGATAGATGGTGACCAGGAGAACCAATCGGGCAGGAGCATTGATTTCACAGCACAGGACAACAATGGTTCTGCTGTTTCAGAGAAGACTGAAACGCTGGGATCAGCAGCAGTAAATGGGGAGAACAAGTCCCAAGGGAGCGTCTACAGGAAGCGAAGGGGTGAAGTTGAGGAGGAGAGAATCAAATCGGAGCTTGTTTCTGATTGGTGGCAGAAGGCCTGGGATGAGGTGGCATTGGATCGAGCACAGGGATTGGATGGAGGCTCGGGCCGAGCCGGACCGACAGGTTCGGGAGGCGCTCCTGGGAAAGGCACACGACTGGCT